AAATAAGAGGGACTTAAATCTTAGTCCGAAGGGGGAAGTTGTAGTGCACTAGCACTACAAGCAAGTGCTGTTACTATAGTAACTAAATTAGCGGCCATAAGTACAGGGAGATAGAATAAGTGCGACCTAAATTACAAATATAAGCTAATTTAGAATAGAGGGACGAATAGGGCAGACCAATTGCTAAAGTAGTAGTCTTATAGAAAGAAGGAGGCGCCGGTGCAGCGTTGCCAGGGACGACCGTCCCCCGCGACTAGCGACCCATTGAGGGATTGCTAGCGGAAGGTCATGGGCCCAAGAGGAGAGAGATATTTTCTCGAGCAAAATTCCTTTGAAACTGCGCAATTAACTGACATTTTCGACTAATTAATCGCTGTACTGTTGAAACTTTGCGTAAACCTCAGTTTCGTAGAGGAATACGGTTGCTAGTTCACCCAGAGGTCATTACATCATTTCTAGTTCTTAATGTGGTTTCCGAGCTCGGACTGGAGACCACAGACATCTATTTTTATCTGCGCTTTATCTGGCGAAGACTTTGTGGTGCGTCATGCTGTTGAAGATGTTGTGTTTGCCGTAGGAAGCTTTTAGTGTCGCCATGAATTCCTAGTTGCGCAGGGCCCACATAGGATGATACGCGGTGCCGACTGGCTTTGGAAGGAGAACGTTGTTTGGGACTTTAAGGAACGCATGCTGTGTATTAAGGAGCAAAACACAGCACACCGGGTGATGTGCGAAGAGTCTCATCATAGCAACACACACTCTGCAACAAACAGCAGCAAGCAAATGGCGCAGAAAGGGCATTGCAAAGCTGCAGATGAGGCACACCAGCAAATGGCTTCTGCTGTTAGGCATATGGGAACCGATAAGGCTGCGTCGTTGGTTCGTGCAGCCCCGAAGAGGTACAAATGCTTCAAGAATAGTGGCAAACTGGTTCCTATCAAACAGCCGCTGAAGACGCTGCAACAGAAAGAGCAACAGGCAACGCTCAACGAAATCATGGAAATTCACTTTGCAAGGCCGGTGGAAGACAAGGCAGCAGCGAAAGAACACGCTTACACAGCAGAGGAGGAGATACAATTTGATATCGACAAAGAGTTGGGTTATAAGGAAAAAAAAACGAGTCGCAGTCCAGATGACTGAACCTCATAGCGAACTCGACGCGGCCGCACCCGTTAGTGGGCCAACTCATCGTCTCTTTGAGGAGTAGTTGATAAAAGGGGGCGTAAAGTGCCCTGATTCTATCAAAAGGGTGCTATGTGCGCGCAGGCAGCTCTTTGTGGACCGATTGCCGGCAGGGCTGCCACCACTGAGGGTAATCAGTTATCGAAGTACCCCCCTGTCTGGAAAAATGCCCAGCAAGGGTATACTGTATCGCCTCAGCAGAGAAGAGTTTGAGGCCCAACGGGAAATCCTGCAGAAACTGAAAGAAGCAAAATGGATAACCGTCCCCATTTGCTGCTCCAGCTATGATTGTAACGAAAAAGGAAGACGGATCTGGAAAGCAACAGTACAGGATGGTTATCAACTATCAAGAAATAAATGCTACAACAATCTCACCTGAGTACCCGCTGCCTAGAATTCAGGACATCTTAGACATGTTGCATGGGGCGAAAGTGTTTACAAGTATAGACGTTGGTCAGCTATACTACCTTGCATAACCCCCATATAAAAAAGCCCTGTGCGCCGTCTGCGGATGCGCCGTGATAAGCGGTAGGAGGCGTACTGGAACAAGGCGGCAAGCCCGTGGGGCTCATGAGCATGAAGATGTCACCAACAGAGCAAAGGTTTATAGTGTATGACCAACAGCTCCCGGCTTCAGTCAGGGCCCTGGAGAAGTGGAGACAGCTATTACTGGTAGCTTTCGTGACTGCATACACAGACCACAGGGCAATGCAATACCTGGTGAAGATGAATGCAACGAACCCAGCTAGAGTTCTTGATGGAATTGGAGGACCAGAAGGTTGAGTACAAGCCAGGAGCCAACAACGTCGTTGCTGATGTACTCTCCCGTTGTCCGTACTACCAACAAGAGGCGGAGAACCAGACTGAAGCAGCACACGGCGCCACAGAAATAAAGCGTTGTTTTCTTGTGCAAGCAGTAGATGAGGACTCGCTGGAGCGTCCACGTTATCCTAAGGCGTGGACTCCTCTGGAGGATGGCGAGAGTGATCGGCAGTGGAAAATCAGGGTAGGCGGTTCTTTGTGGTCCACCTCGCTACCGTGCTTCAACATTGCAGCGAATTCGCAGAACCCCTTAAAGCAGTGCAGAAACAGCCAGTTAAAGTACAATTTCATGGCAAAGAGCATGCATTTAAAGTATTGCACAGACTTCCAATGATTCGCATTTTTTGGCTTTGGCGGATTCGCCTTCCAACGGACCGGCTATGCCCTCGGCATGTGATATATCAAGCGCATGACTACCCTACTGCAGGACATATGCGGGTAAGCAAAACCTATGAGATGCTAACTCGTTTGTTCTATTGGCCTCAGGTGCACAGTTATCTGAACACTTATGTAGAGTCATTTCCATGACGCAGGGCAGCCACATCAACCTCAGCAAAGCCTGCTGGTCTTCTAGAGCCTCTGCAAATACCCAACAGAAGATGGGCAGATGTTTCATTAGATTTCACTACAGCGCTGCAGCTGACAAACAAGCAGCATGAAGCTATCCGTACTTTGGTGGATACTAAAGGCAAGAGAGCGCATTTCGTGCCTGCGAAGACGGCAGCAACCGCAGCAGACACACTGGAGTTACAAACGAACAGGTTAGTGCGCTACAATGGATTACCTGCTGTGCTAATTTCTGATAGGGATGTGCGGTCCATTTCAGAGCTCTGCGGATTTTTTTGTACCAACTTCAAGATCAGGAGTGCTCCGTCTAGCTCCTGCCATCCACAGACAGACAGACAGACAGAACGAGTACACAGGAAGTTGGAACCAATGCTGCGTTTTTATACTCAAGCCGACCGTTGGGAGCGCTCAGGGGTGAACACGCTCATCATTTCCTGGCGGGAAGACCTCTATAGCATCATCAGAGGAATGCATTCCAGCCTTCCACTGAGTCACCCACGGCATGCCTGTGGTGGTGAACAGGCCCAACGTAGAAGTCCTTAGTCATAGTAATGCGCCCTGCTTTGGAACTAGGAGAGCATTTTACGCCCTTAATTTTGCCGATGCTTCTATTATGCCTGCCACCAGCGAAGCGTAGCCTCAGAGATTGCTCCAATGAATAAGCGGCTAGGCTGCACCGCCTTGCTGCGGCTTCCGATATCAGATCCACTTCGCATCGCATATCGAGTAGCGCCAGTAGATCCTGCCATTTTACTCGTACTTGAACAAGCACAGAGTTGACTCGAGATGGCTCTGTATGCGCTGCCGTTATCGCGTGTGGCCCCTTCGCTGCGCTGCATGTTTCGTGGGGTCCGGGCGATTCCCCGCTTGCTCTGTTTGTTCTCTTGGCGGCGCTGTTCGAGATTTGGTTTCAATTGTTTTCCAGCATTTTTCATGAGCCGGCAATCTCGAAAAAGGTGACCCTGCTTATTGCAAAAGAAGCAAGTACGCCATTCGGACTCTCCCTCTTGTTTTCTGGGTGTTGAGTTTACCGTCTGCACTCGGTAGCCTCCTCTATCCCCCGGTTTAGCTGGCCTGGTGTTCACAGCCCCAATATCCATTGGTTCCAAGTCGGGATTATTCCCAGACCTGCTTTCTTCCTCTTCGGCTAAGGGTGGTGAAGTGGCGTTTTTTCTTTCCATTCTGCGGAGGTACTCCATCATGTCAGCGGATTCCACACCTTTGCCCCTCACTTCCCTGTCCATCGCCCAGGAAGTTACTGCTTGCCTTCCTCCGGCGGACAGTCCCCCTATAAACCAATTATAGAGAAGTTCCGGATCCATGAAGGACTGGTATTTCTGAATGTAGCGCTCTATTGACAGTTTTCCCTGTTTAAGCTTTCTCAATTCCTCTATAGCTTGCTCCCTTGCGGACTCCGGAATACACCTTCAACAAAGCACTTCCCGGAAGGCCTACATGGACCTGATGTGCTCCGGGAACGTGATGCCTTTGCTTAAATTTAGCCGCCATCGCCGTGCATCCGTTTCTAATAAGGAGGAGGCCAGCGGTAATTGGAATTATTCTGGGGCTCTTTGTAGGCGGAGGTATAAGTTTACGGAACTAAGGAACTCCTCTACGGCGTCTGCGTCCCGGCACCCATCATATCGCGTAGAACGGCACAACCGAAGGCATTCCTCTTGAATCATTTTTAGCGAGAATGCATTTTCCCAGAAATTAGATGCCGAAATAGAGCTGGCTTCCGTTGGCTGGGATTGGAGACCGTGTATCGACCCCCACTTTCGTGTGGGGATTGGTCCCTTGCCCACACCTGCCCCGATGAACCATGCGGCGCTACGACGTATAACACTTGTTCTCTGGCCTTTACCTAGGAGAGAGGCGAGCTGCAATGTAGGTAAAGACTTGAAGCAAGAGTTTCCCAAAAGCAGCCGACCTTCTTCTCCTGCCCTTAGGCGTCCTGGGCGTTGAGCTCAGGGTCTGGGTGTTGCCGAGGCCCCGAGCTCAACGTCCTGGGAGGAGGCAGGCAGAAATGGGGTTGCAACGCTTCTCGCTGCGGTCGGCAGTACAAGCCAGCCCCACGCATGCACGCAAGGAAGCATCAGCGAAGCTTCGTTTGCTGCGTGCTTTGCCTCTAAATATACTTGCAGAACGTTTACAAGCGTTTACGCGCAACCTGCCAAAGCCAAGTGAAGGCTCCTGCACCAACTCATGCTGCAGAAGCGGCAACGGGTGCAACAAGAAGGCTACAGGAGCACCAGAAAAGGTTAAGCTTTCGCTCTCAGCTAGGTTTGAGAGCTGAAAATGTCTAGGTTTAAGATATAATGTAAAGGTACCGTGAAAGATGAGAATCATCGAAAGGAATTTTTAGGGTTGCATGAAGGCTGTTGCACGTCTCAGTATTGTTAAATTCAACCCGCCTGCATTTAGCAGGAGTCTTTATGTTCGCATTGATGTTGTTTGGCATTGATGATCTGTTCTCTACTCTTTCGAAGTATCCCATTAAGCTGTTCTTCCCAGCCTACACGCAAGTAGGAGAAAAAGTGCAGCTCCATCTCCTCTGAAATAAGGTCGCCCTAATACTGGTAATGCTGCCAAAAATTCGTCTTTCAGCACAGTCTTTTAAGTCAGCTGTTTACACAGCAACATGGGCGTTTACGGTCAGAGTATGACACGTTAAGGTACGCTGCCGTACAAAATTAAGCCCTAAAGCCTACGATGTACAGTCCATTGACCGTATGCAGCAAGCATCCAGCCTTAAATTCTAATTCTCAATCCCTTAACCCTACGCCGTAAAACCTCTACCGTCCTAGACTAGATATTGCTAACCTCTGGCTCGGTGTGAGCAGCTACTAGCCTAGCAAGAGAAAAAATAACATGCGTAAATTGGCTCTAGGCGAACATGAAGGTAATTTTGCTGCGCTGAGCACAAAGATTTTCCCGGTCTCACCAGAGCCTCTGCCTACAACAGGCTACAAATAAGTATTTTTGAATAAGGTGTCTTTCCAGTAGCCCGCCCTTCACGTAAAGTACAGCAAACGTTATGCCCAGGTACCTACCAATACAAATCATTACCAGTTTTAGCAAAATAAGTTCGTCTTCCTTTCTTTTGAGTCTTCATTGCCAGGTCTGGAGCGTATCAGTGCTCATTATCGCTGTTGGCCTCTGCTCGATGACAAGAACGTACTTACTGAGGCGAAATCAAAAGTACCAAGAGTTGTACCCGTATAATGGTGGTGCACAGAGGAGCCTTTGACCAAAGTTGAAGTTCAAAAATCGTCAATCGCAGGTGGAAGCCGACAAGCAGGCCCTTGTGGAATATTTGATGGCTATCCGTAGCGATCAGTGTAAAGGTAGAATCTGCACTATTGACCAAGTGTACTAGAGGCACATTGTTCAACGGTCAACATAAAAGTAGAGGCGGCAAATATGTAAAGAGCCGTTCAGCGTTTATACAAGCGTTGCAAATGTCATTGCATGCATCTGCCAGGGGTCTTTGGAGGAGGCTACTCTGGCAAACACTCTCTCAGGCCGGCTGAAGCCCTGGAAGCTTCAAAAACTCTCAGAAACTGCCTGCTATCAGGTCACTAGGGTTTTCTGAGCAGAAGGTGGTACAGAACAACTGAACAATCCGCTGGTGTTGCCAAGAGTCCACGCCGGGCTCCATGCCCACTGATCAAGGCCTCAATGCAACTGTCACGCGATCCAGCTACGCGTTGGCATAGTTTGTTCGTTCACTCAAAAATGCAGGCGTCCGGGCGAAGGCACTGGACGAGCAAACATTTATTCTCACTCTCGTCATTCGTGAGCTCTGACAATTCCCCCACTCGTGCATATAGTTCAATGTTTGCGTTTCGTTGCATCTAGCCCCCCTAGAAACTATGATGATCTCCAGGCGCCTTGCAAGCTGTGAAAACGTCCATAAACCAGCCATGCAACGAGAAGGGGAACCTCCGCACTACTTTCGGCAAGCCGACATACGAGGATACACACACAAAAGCCACGCTACTGTCATCTCGAAAGCGCGCGAAACAGGACGCATCGCCCACGTTGCTTACCATCAGTAGATGCACGAAACGTAGTGGCGAGTGATCACCAAGAAGATGCAAGTGCTTCCGAGAGGAAGTTCATTCTACGGCCACGCCCAGCGTCCTCCACGCACAAAGACGAACGTGGAAGCCGACAAAGAGCACCACGCCATACTTCGCAAGTGTTCCTTGCGGAATATCAGGCAAACATGAACTGTTCACAACCCACACTGTTCGCCACCAGCGGCCGGTGCGGAGATAATACCATCGCCAATTTCCTGTACCGTGAAAGCAACTTGGCAAACGTCACAAACTCACGCTCCCGACCGACACGAGGCGAGTAAGAAGCCAACAGGCGAAGTGCAGAGGCTACCAG